AGGAACAGACAGACGCCGGCGGTACTAATAGGCTGACTGACCTATCCACTCAACTGAGCTAATTGCTATCACTATGGTAATGGAAGTCATTAATACTTATAAAAAAAAACGCAATGATTATTTGTGATTCACAGACAGTTTTAAAGTGTTTAAGTGATAGGAATAAACTAAATGAGGATATTGTTTGTAGCCTTAGAAAACAAACTACTAAATCAAAAGATGATAATATCTGTATTAGGTTTATGTTGTTCCATCACATATCGGAATAAGTGGGAATGAAAAAGCAGATAAAGTATCCCAAGAAACAACGCAAAAATGGCATTGATGTTGCTATAATCCTCTCTCCTTCTCTCTCTCTCTCTCTCTCTCTCTCTCTCTCTCTCTCTCTCTCTCTCTCTCTCTCTCTCTCTCTCCCTCTCCTCTCTCTCTCTCTCTCTCTCTCTCTCCTCCTCTCCTCTCCTCTCTCTCTCTCTCTCCTCTCTCTCTCTCTCTCTCTCTCTCTCTCTCTCTCTCTCTCTCTCTCTCTCTCTCTCTCTCTCTCTCTCTCTCTCTCTCTCTCTCTCTCTCTCTCTCTCTCTCTCTCTCTCTCTCTCTCTCTCTCTCTCTCTCTCTCTCTCTCTCTCTCTCTCTCTCTCTCTCTCTCTCTCTCTCTCTCTCTCTCTCTCTCTCTCTCTCTCTCTCTCTCTCTCTCTCTCTCTCTCTCTCTCTCTCTCTCTCTCTCTCTCTCTCTCTCTCTCTCTCTCTCTCTCTCTCATGGTCATTTGTCTATGGCTAATCTCTCATCTCTTATTTTTCCATCATGTCTGCATCACCAACAGATATGTAGATGATTTCAGTGTTTTATTTTTTTCAATAAGATTTGGAGGAAATTTCTATTTTATGGCTGATTTTTTCCCATTACTATTATCATTTATACGTCCTGCGGTTATACTAATGGTCCCTATTGTTATTGTCAACACGAAATGACGTCATCTCCGGCCACGAAAGATGGCCAACAGGCAAACTGTCAATCCTCTGCTGTTTTCAGCAAATAGCAACACTGCCTTTGACAATTTTCCAACTCCAGCAGTACTTATTCCACCTTCTCAAAATGAGACGCAGAACGTTCCAAAGGGTAAAATCATCCTCCGATTACGCTCCGTCCTGATAAAGCTGAACATATTGATAACGTCATTCTTACTGCCCTTGAAAGTTTTTTGAGGGTTCTCTTAGATATTTCCTGCACGACGGAATTTCTTTGTCACCTGTTTGTAAAACTGATATTTGTTCTCAAATGGAAAGTAATCTAGGCCATACAAATTACTTTCTTTGTTGTAGAGATTTTAGAACTCGTCAATATTATATACATATATATATATATATATATATATATATATATATATATATATAATATATATATATTATATATATTTATATATATATATATATATATACATATCTACATATACATATATACACACACACACACATATATATGTATATATGTGTGTGTGTATGTGTGTGCAAAGCAAATAGCTATGCATTCCAGTGTGACCTAATGGTATCAAATGATTTAGAACAAGCTCAAATTTGCAATGAAATCAAAGAGGTATAGGTTAGATTTGGAAGTGACACCTAACTCAAATTTATGAGTGAAAACCATCGTGTTTCAGTAACTTTCGGAATAGTGGCCCATAATGGATCGCGACGGTTTTGGTAACAGTGGATTCATCTTACTTTCTAGTATCTAGATATAGAAATTATTGTGTGAAACCTCTCAAACTCCCACATTTTGGGCCATGTTAGCAGGGCAGGGCATGAAAGGTACCAGGAAATTGTGGGTTAAACAATTACCATGTAATGTAAATAATATACTGAGGATTATTCACTGTGTTGTCTAATGCAAGGGGCTGTACTCTGTGCAACCACACCCCATAGAGGGCTGCTGCCGCCCCAACCCTTGCTTAAAGAATACTCCATGTATTCACAGCAGGAGAGAGCATCGGACACACTCAGCATTAGGCATTCCCACTTGGTTGTACACTGTACAAAGAATGAGGATTCTTTATGTTCCATTGTGCGGTTGCAGGGGGCTGTGCCCCCTGCTTTAGACAGTATAGCGGTTTCGTTTGTCACAGGATTATTTATTACAGATCTAATTGACTCTAATAGACTGGTCAATAGTGTCTTCACATCATGGCCAAGTACAATTCCCATTGGCTTATTTGATTTCCCTTGCTTATATCATCTGCTACAATTCCATTTGATGATGGGGACCTTGGATATTTTTAGATTTATATCCTCTCTACTGTTCTTATTAGTTTGTGAAGAAAATTCTATAGAAGAAAAGTGTTATATTCTATTGGGTGGGAAGGTTGGATTCACCAGTTTCAATGTATGGTGTCATTTCCAATGATACCAGGTTTAGTGGCACAAGTAGACTGTAAGGTAATGGAAACACAACATGGAATCACTAGATCACTTAATTTAAAGCCTCATTACTTGTATAAATAAATAATTGTTGGATAGTGAAGATGAAAAGTTTGTAAATCTTGACAAGATATCTACATGTCTCCATCAAGTGTGCCAGTGGTGTCAATACTGTGTCAAAAGGCAAAAAAATATTGTAGATCTCTGAGTTTATCAACGAATAATGGCTTAGACAGGGCTCTATCTTACCAAATTATAATTGATGGAGCTTTGTAAATTTTTGCCAGAGAACAAAGGCCTCTCTGCAAGTGTTTCAAGTATTTGTAAGTATAATGCAGTCAGTATATTATAAGAAAATAAGTATCAGTTTTGTAAATATTTATTATTTAGTTAATGAAATTAATAAAAAGATGATGGTAATTAAGAAAAAGAGTGAGACAACAAAGCTAATGTAATGGTCATAATGAGTAGATAGAATAATAATCTGCCCAAAATAAACTTAAACTTACTTATTACTTATCAGATCCAAAGAGCTGTCAGAGTCTTGCCACAATCTCCTATGTTTTGTTATTTGGAATTAGTCAACACAGGTCATTTGTCATTATATATTTTGCCACAACATTTCTTGATGCAATCTAATTGTAGTCATTACTGCCATAAGGAATGAAATTTAGCTCTTTGCACTTGCACTGTTTCAAGAGTATGTTTTTAGTATGTAGACCATGGCATTTCATTTTTAAATAAGGAACCAGTTCAAGTGCCAGAATACTTATGTTGGTGTGTAGGCCATGGCATTTGTTGGCCATATTGATTATTTATTTAATTTTTTAAAAAAGTTCTTTAGATTATATGAAAATTCATTTTGTCTTCAGATATGCTGTTCAGTATGTTCTAAATGTATGTCTGAAACTGTAAGTTTACCCGCATGAGATTAACAGTATTATGATATGCAATAGTCATTAACAATATGTGAATTTATATGTGTAACAAGGACTGTATAAGAAAATTAGGTGATATGTTAATGCTACCTAAAAAAGATTCACCAAATCTAATTTGCTCTTGAACTCTGTCACTAAGATTTTGATATATTTTTGCTGGTTGGAAATATCAGAACCATTTGTATAAGTATACCACTAATCCTATTTTGAATTATATTGATGACACTTATTTTCTTATAATATACTGACTGCATATTACTTAAAAATACTTGAAACACTTGCAGAGAGGCCTTTGTGCTCTGGCAAAAATTTACAAAGCTCCATCAATTATATTCTGGTAAGATAGAGCCCTGTCTAAGCCATTATTCGTTGATAAACTCAAAGAGATCTACAATATTTTTTTGCCTTTTGACTTTTCATCTTCACTATCCAACAATTATTTATTTACACAAGTAATGAGGCTTTAAATTAAGTGATCTAAGAATCAGTCTGTTGCTATTGTAGTTGTAGTATATTTACTACTCTCTGATATTGGTTACTTTCAGATGTGGAGGAGGCTGACAATTTCCTAGGTCAAGGAGCAGGTGAAGGAGATGCAGCCAAGTTACAGACTGGGACAGAAGCCAGTCAAGATCTTATATTTCCACCATCAGGCACTTCAGGGGTTGGTCCTGGACCCCCAACACATCACAATATAACATCTCCAGTCAGCTCAGGAATTCAGCCATTATCTTCTGTAGCACCATTAGTCAACCCAACTCCAGGGACCACACAGCTCCCCTTTGCTCCCAGACCCATGACCTCCAGCTTCCCAGGAGTGTCCCCTCCTCTGTCTCGCCCAACATCTCTGGATCCACCTGTGAGGCCACCAACAGGACCACCACTAGGCCTGCCACCTCTTGGTCCACCTCCTGTAGCACCAATCAGCAGTGTGCTTCCCATCCCTCCTCCTGCATCTACACCTCCAGGAGGAATTCAGCCCTCTGTGTCACCAGCTCTTAGCTCTGTGGTTGGGCCTCCCCCAACAGGATTCTCACCAAATATTCAAGTTTCAAATGGAGCAGAACAGAAAGGTAGGTTAAGAGTGGAGGTTAAAGACAAGGGAAACACTGTGTTGAAGCAGACTTGTGGGTTACCTGTCCTGCTTTTGAAAGATTTGTATAATGGATACCACAAAACATACTTTAACTTTGTTTAGAATTTTAAAACCTGTCAGAAAACACTCTCTCATTCTGTCTCTCTTTCTTTCTTTCTCTCTCTTTCTATCTCTCTTTCTCTCTTTCTCTCTCTCATTCTCTCTCTCTTTCTCTCTTCTCTCTATCTCTTTCTCTCTATCCTCTCTATCTCTTCTCTTCTCTCTCTCTCTCTCTCTTCTCTCTCTCTCTTTTCTCTCTCTCTTTCTCTCTCTTCTCTCTTTCTTCTGCTCTCTCCTCTTTCTCTCTCTCTCTTTCTCTCTCTCATCTTTCTCTCTCTCCTCTCTCACTCTCTCTCCCTCTCTCCTCTCCTCTCTCCTCCTCTCTCTCTTCTCCCTCTGCTCCTCTCATCTCTCTCTCTCTCTCTCTCTCTCTCTCTCTCTCTCTCTCTCTCGCTTTCTCTCTCTTCTCTCCTCTCTCTCCTCTCTCTCTCTCTTCCATCTCTCCTCCTCTCACTCTC